TTTTACCTTTTTTGGTTCAGGAATATCGGTGATTGCGATTAACTTTTCTGGTTCTCGATCAATTCCGGTTGAATCAACAATGTGCTCGAGAAAATTGATCTGTGAAACACCAAAAGTACATTTTATTGGTTGAACAGTTAATCCGTGTGTTTGTAACCGTTCTAGGACTCGTTGTAGGTGATAGAGATGTTCCTTTATACTCAATGAATACACCTCAATGTCATCCAGGTTGACACGAATTTACCAACATATCCACGCATAACCTCGTTCACCAATCGTTGAAAAGTAGCCGGGGTATTTTTAAGGCCGAAGGGCATTACTTTAAATTTGTAGAGGCCCATCTGTGTACGAAATGCGGTGAGTGGTCGTGACACTGGTGTCAGACCTACTTGCCAATAACCGGACTTCAGGTCGATGGTGCTGAAGACGTTAGCGCTACCCATCCCTCTGACCATGTCATGTAAGTTGGGCATTGGATGTGCGTCGGACTCCGTCTGAAGATTGAGTCTTCGGTAGTCAACACATAATCGTTGAGAGCCATCTTTCATTTTGGCGAGAACTACGAGAGCTGCCCATGGCGAGGTATTTAGTTCTACAAATCCTTGCTCCTCCATTTCTCGCATCATATTAGAAATGAAGTCCGGTTTCTCGCGATTATATGGGTTTGCATTTAAGGCAGCCGGTGTATTCTTGTTAAACCGGATATCATGTTCAATGATACGGGTTCTTCCGACTTCCCCGGAGAAAACTTTAGAGTACTCCCGTATAATTGACCGCACTTCTTCAGGATACTTTCCTTCCGGTACTCCTTGAACAGTCCCTTCCTTTGATTTGTGTTTTCTCCAGCACACTGTTATACGTTTACCATATGAATGGTACACGCCTGGTAATCCCATGATACTTCCTGTTTCACCAAAAAGTCATGTCCAAGGAAGATGTCTCCAATTAAGTGGTCGAGTACTGTGGCTCTGAACGTCACCTGAAGTTCATACACCCTTGCTGTAAATTCAGCGTACTCGTGAACCTGCACGGTCCGGTTGTCAGCCATAGTGACCACATGTGGTTCTTCTTCTATCAATTTCCCATATTTGTGTGCTACCCACGGTAAAACGTAAGATCTCGTAGCTTGAGAATCTAACGGCGCAACAACTATTTCCGTAGGGAACTCCAGTTCAATTGCCGGTAATGGCACATTGTAACTTTTTGGTGTTACGGTTGATGTCGCTTTTTTACCGTTCTTGCTTTGGTTAAAATGACGCATGATTTCTACCGTGATCTTCTCTGGTTCCGAAAACATTACTGAATCCTGGTCGTATTCTGTTCGGTTCCTTGTTGTCAATAAAAACATTTTCTCCAGAAAAAAGTTTAGCTGCCCGGAGACGTATATTGTATAACGAATCCGTGTCAGATTTTCTCCGTCAATTTTGAATCCCGCTGAAAGGAGTGAACTCCTCAGAAAGTTTTACCGGGAATGACTTCGGGGCCGATAACAAAGTACTTGTTAGAAGGTCTTGTTCCGGTCTTCCGGGATTTTGTTTGGCAAATGGTCCTCGGAATGTGCTGTTAATGATCCTTGGTCAGGACGCGTTGAGCTACATTCCTTTATTTCCAAAACTTCTCCCTTTTCGGTTTTCTCCCGAAAATTATCCTTTCCTTCGGATTCAATTGCGACAAACTGCATTTTGGTTTATCCCTCCGTTTTTATAGTCTCTTTTGACAAACTACGGTAAAAGCGATTTTTTTTTATTTGTTTCTAACAAGAATAAAAATATATTTTTTTTTAATTTCAAAATGATCATTTTTTAATTTTTTTCTTACAAAAAGTTATGACGGGTCAATATTAATTTTGGAGCATTACTTATTTCAGTGACGTATTTAGAAAATTATAATGGGGGGCATAAATAATGTTCATTTTCCATCCATTTTGGGGGGCGTTTTTCTCCCACAGCTCTAATTACTTCTTCATTTGATTTCCACTTTATCCAACTTACCCTTTCCATACGCCTCCAACATCACATCTTGAAGGCTTCTAGTTTTTTCTTTTCGATATCATTTATTACCCAAGTTTCGTATCCATATGTTTCAACACTCCATGCATGTGTTTTTATAAGTCTCTTCTTGATATTGAGATGTAGCTTCTTTGAAGTAAGCAAATTATTTTTTTTACTAAAGGCAGTTTTTGCCTAATGCTATGCATTGTTTTTGCTCTCTAAGTATACCATTTCCTCTACTTGCTCCACTTTTTGACTCACTATGTATACACCTTGTGACGTAAAAAATTGACCTATCTTTAATAGCATTATTTAACACATAAGTTATTGAAATTAGTTATTGTGAACATCATATAATTAAGTGTAACTGCTCAGCAATTGGAAATGCGGCGTTATTGTCTAGATAGTATTAATTTCGTGGTGAATAAAAACTAATTTTGAACATTACAATTTAGAATAACATAATTTAAATCTTCCTAAATAATGCAGTCGCACATTCCCTTTAAAAACGCCCAACTGACCACTACAGTACTGTCAATAATTCAACAGGTCCCAGATGTCTGACGAGGTATGCACTGATTTAGGCGTTTGTTTCCTCTTCCGGTCCATGCGTGTTGTCGCCGTCAAGTGGTCTGGCAGTTTTGTTCAAATTTTTTTTGGCCGGTCGTCGAATTTGTCTCCAGCCATCTACTTATTATTTTGTATATTGAACATCTCATGTTCAAATGCTGCCTAACTTTTAACTTTTGGCCCTGGCGATCGAGCCATGGGTGAAGATTTCATTTGTTGGCTACGGCCTGGACATCATGATAATATAATTTGGTTACTTTGTACAACATTCCCGTTTTTCTTTATTTCGTCCATTTCATTGTTTCCTCTATTCGTGCATTGTCACGAAGTTTCTTTAAAAATGACATTAATATATTTTAAATCTTTTAATATGAGTACTCTATCTGATCTCTTGGCACTTTTGCTCATTGACTATTGGTAAATTATTGTTAAATATCATTTTCGTCCATCCGATAATTATTTTTTGTCATGTTGAGTGTAATAAAACCTCACATGTGTTGGACCAATCTAGACGTGCTTAGTAGTCTCAAGGCTCGGTATAAAAGGCCTAGATCCATATTGGCAGATGTCAAGTTCTTAGTTTGAATATTATTGCAATGATAACCTATTTATTTTATTCAATATTGGAAAGTACGCTCCTGGCTCTTGCTCAAATCGAACATAGTCAATACAGCATTGTCAGAGATTATTTTTTCCTTCATGTCCTTTTTGTTTTATTGGTCCTTTTAATAATTTAATAATTTGTGATATAAATAACTATGACTTGAAATATGTTATATAAAAGAATTTGTAATTTTATTTTATTTTATTTTGAACATTTGTAACTGACGTAATTTTATCGTACTTTGGGCATCATTATTTTATTTAAACCATTATATAAAATAGAACATCATCGCCTATACTACTTGTCTACCAGTTTTTAATTCTTTTTCCCCTAGAGTTAAGGTAAAAACTTAGTAAATTAAAAAACAAATGTGTCAGTTATATTTAAAATTCCACTATGTTCCGGTCTGGTAGAGCCTCGGCTAGTGGTGAATTCAACTTCGTTTGGGTTTATGTGCTTCATCGGTGAAAGCCTCACGATTAGAAGTCGGTGAATGTCACAACCTTTTTACCTTATATAATTCTTTCTAAACTTAAGGTAACGGTCTTCGCCCGTTTTGCTGCGCTACTGTGTCGGTTGGATCGGGCTCTACGAGACTACGAAACGTCGGCACGAGCGCAATTTCCCTAGCTCGGGGAATCGGGCCCGTCCTTAGGTTTTGGATAGAAGAACGGCTCGCAGATATGCAGGTTTAATTAATTAAGTCCATTAATTTGGGTTGGCGAATAAGCGGTCACAAACAATGAGCCCCTCGTTCGCTCGATAACCCTGCAGATATTTTTGAAGACACTTTGAAAGTGGCTTATATCATAGCCACTTTCAAAGTGGACGAATAAGCGGTAGCGTTCGAGGGTAATTGTATGACGGGAAGGTGGGCCCTATAGCCTGGTAAGGCGACCACCTAGGTGAAGGCAACACCGAAATCAAATCCCCTGGCGGTAAGTAAAACGTAGGGAAGGCCACCCGTAAAAACCAAACATGGAAACAAACCATATAAAAATAAGGTTAACGTTCCAGGAGATTCGGAGTCTCCAGGGCTGGCTGGGAAGGGTGTCGCTACAGGCCTGACCCGATCGTTATCTAGCGACTGTACCAAAACTGTGGGACTGGTGATTTACATTGTTTATTACACAATATCTTTATAACAAAACTGTTTAAACAAACATTAACGTAGTTTTAAAATATTATTTTGATTTCAACAAGGGCGATCCTAGAGATAAATTTTAACAGGGTGTGGATTAAATTATTTCAATGAATGAAAGTGAACATTATAAAGAAATATTTAATACTTTTTAAATACTATAAAACTTCTCGTGTTGTAATAGATCATATTCTGTATGATATAATTTATCATATAAAATATCATATAATAATACTTTTATGTAATTTTTTAGATTGGGTTGGATTTATTCTTCAGATATTACTGTATAGACATATAACAATACCTGAAGAAATCTTTGGGATAAGTCCTTAAAGTAAAAAAATGAACTTGAAATTATAACTTGTCTATTTGCTGCATGTAGGGCGTATATCGAATATTCATCTACTAGCACTAGTGTCAAATATAATTATATTGTTATATCATTGTTAAACGAATTTATCATTTCAAAATATCACCATCTACATGCTATAAAGTATTAATAGTATATACATTTATATAATCTGTGGTAGAAGTAACATAGATAATGCTATTGTTAACAATCTTTGGCTTGTGCGATATATTGACTATAATAATATCATTACACTATTTCAACGAATTCTATATTTAGCTGTGGAATACTTATCAGCTCGTTATCAATGTTAATTTGCACCATCACTACACGGAGAAATAAATCTGTATTGTAGAAGATCTGTTTTCTTTTTTTTACTTTTATATTAATTTGTTAATAAAATAATAAATTAAAAATTATTTTTTTTCTTTAAACTAAAAAATCCTGAAACAGCGCTGACTTCTAATCAAATAATTAAAAGTCATATTACATAAATTATTCTATTGTTGGACTTATCTATTGTTGGTCTTTTCACTTTTTATATTTTAAAATTTTCTTTCAGACACCCAGCTTGAATGTTGCTAATAGTAACGTAACAAATAAATTGGTTATCGTCACTAAAGATAAATAAAATAAACTTACATATGAAATTACTTATATAGGCAACTCGAAATTTGATTTAGATGATTTACAGTCTGGTCCAAAAAGATCCATATTAGAGGTAAATCATGTATAAAACTGACAACATAATATATACATTGTATGTTAAATATATATTTTAATTGCTATTAAGCCTATTATAGGAACGTTGTACTTATACGAATCTTTGGCATTGGTTATTCGTCATCTTCCTGGCGGTTGTCAGTAGTTGTTACACGAATCAAAGGGATAGAAATATTCGGATTTTGTTAGTTACATATGTATCTCTATACTCATGTTATGAAATAATTTTTACGTTTATTCTTTATATATTATACAGGGGTGTCAAATTTATTTGTTTAAACGGCAGCATAAATATTAAACTAGTTTATAATATAGAATATTATCTAATTAAGAAAATAACTATCGACAATAACTTTTGGATTAATACTTTGAAAGTTATTAGAATTTTAAAATATAGTACTGATGGTGAAGCGCAGATTCTGCTATTTTTATCATTAGTCATTATTTGGTCACACTTCTTCTGCCACCTAAGTACAAAAATTAGAATATCTTCCAAAGCACTGGTCTAAAAGTTCTTGTTTTAAATTACAAATACCATTTCCATTAACATAACCATGGCTTCATTTTATGAGGTTGAATATTTTTGTGTATGGTATAATTATTGTTCAAAAATTAACATTTATTATTTGTTTTTTATATTTATTAGTTATGTGGGTCTAGAGTTCTTGCAAATGGAAAACTAACAAAACTGGATGATCATGCTATTATTATATTACAAAAACTCATTTAACTCTTATTGCAAAATAGACAAGACATTATAACGTAACTGTCAAAAAAACTGACACTATTCATACCCAGCTAATAAGTCAATCTAACTAAAATTTGCCGCTAATAGGTAATGTATGAAAACTCTAATTGATATGACAATTTTTTGAGTATCCATAGACTGACTTGACACAATGAAAACAGATCATCATTAAATCAAGGTAGGGAACTAATTTAAATAGATCATTTAAATTAAATTGATTAGATCAATCAAGTAATGAAAACTGTGAAGATAAAATTATTAATGTCTTATTAAATAATTTTTCTTAAGGAATTTTAACAAAACCTGTGTTTTATTTTCCAAGCATATTCCCATATTTTCTGAAATATTTAATAAAGAAACAAATTACACTAGTCACCATATTCATAATGAAATAATTGAAATATGTGCAAATAGCGAAAAAGAGTAAATAGTATAATGTGTGATGAAGCAATGTAGTAAATTCAAAAATCAGCATTCATAAAAAAATGTATAATTAATAAACACTAATATTACTATTAAATTTTTGCTTTAGTTTTAGATTTTATAAAGAAGAACAAATGTTTAATATTATTTTGAAACTTGTAAATTAAATACTAAATCTCAAATAATTTCACAATCCTATGATTGTTGGAATTTCTGTGGAAATATCATGTCTGGAAATTCAATGAAGTCAATCTAGAATAAGAATTGGTATGCTTTATAGAATAAATCTTTTGGTTGCAGATAGGTGCAAAATGTTTAAAGTAAAAACCAATATTAATAAAATATTTTTGTTTTATTAAAATAATAAAATTTTATTTTGTAATAATTAAATTTTTTTAGGAAACCTTAAGTTTTTTTAACTTGATTAAACGTATTTACATTCATTTTTCTTATCCCCAAAGAATTGTCAATTAGTTGAATTGCATAAAAACTTGGACAGAAAAACAAAAATTATGGGCGCATTAGTAATAATAGATGGAATTGTAGATTTAAAAACTGTGAAGCCATTAAACAATGTTTCTAGAGTATTCTTATTGTACTTAAAAGAGAAATAGAAAATGAAATTGATAAAGATGTCAATAAAGCAAAAGGTATAATTTATTGTTTTTTATCCAATTGATGTACATTTCATTGATATTTGTTTTATTAGAAATACTCTCAACAATTACAAAAGGAGACATTTATTAAAGTTTAGTTCATCATGCACAACATCTTGTGTATGATCTTGGCTGTGCTTAATGCAGAGACTGACAATCAAAGTTCCACTGTTTCTAGATAATAAAATGTAAAACTAAAATAATAACTATTCCCTATTGATACATTTATTACTTGTTTTATTATTTGTTATTCACAATATTATTTAAATTGATTTTTGCTAACTGGTATGATACTCAAATAATATATTTTAATAAAAAGNTTTACTTTATTTTTTCTCTCAGCATAATGAATATATGTAAAAATACCTTTATATCTTTGAAATCTTATACTAGGAAAGATTAGTGTAATAAAAGTTGGCTGTGAGTGAAATGAGTTACTGGGAATCGTTTCTGTGGTATCAAAACATATTTTCAACAAAATTCAATAGTTAATATTTTGTATTTTTATAAATATTTTCTTTACTTTTAAAAATAAATATTGTAAATTTTATTTTATTAATTTTTATTATGACACATAATATTTGTAATGTAATGTTTCACATTAACACTAATCACTCTTTCACAATTTCAGTCAAAGATGGTTCTTGGCTAAACCAATGATGAATGGGATGGGTATTATCTTTGGTTTGCAACAAAGATCAAACACCACCAATGAGAAAATCACAAAAATAATTTTGTTGGGATTAAACTCAGGATCCTGTGCGCTTAAACATACGTTTCTACCCATTATGCTAGACTGACCCATTTAAAGAGTACAGGTTAGTGAATATTCAATATTATAATTGTTTTTAATTTTTGTAATTTTAAAAAACAAAATAGTGAAATTGATTTATAATTAATTATATTTATGTCTTTTATTCTAAAGCTGATAAATAGTTATTCTTTATTTTTATATAATTTTTGTACAGAGAATCTGTATATTTAGTGTATAGAATTTTTTTTACCATACATGGTTAGTAAGAAAGAAAGCTAAAAATGTAATTCGTTTATCGTTTTTATTTTATAACTCTGTAAACAACATCGATAATGAAATACATAGATCGGTAAACATTGAATAACACTAATTATATAAATGCTGTTTCTGCATTATATAAATAACTTTTAAGTAATTAATACTGGCTAATTGTTGATCTTAATAGTTGTTATAATAGTAAAGTATTTTTGATAATTCAAAGTTAAAATTACCATGGAAACAAATACACATAGACATTTTCTTAGTAAATTTGAGTTTTTTTTTACTTTGTGATTAACTAAAATTTCTATTTTCGTGTTTATTATAATAATAATGAATAATTAAATTTATTTTTATTATTTATCTTTTAAACATTAACTGTATTTACAAGTAATCAATGTGTTATGGCAAATTATTTTATGCTATAAACAGTGATGCAATTTCTTTTAGAAATCGAATACAATTTTCAATAATAACACAATGCAGTAAGATGAATATTACTTGTTGAGCTTTCAGACTAATGCCAGTCATAAAATATATTTATTAAAATATTAATTTGACACGTATGAAATTTCAATAATGAGCAACAACAGAAATTTATCAAGGTAATTTTTACATTTTAATAATTAAACATTTTCCAGACAAATCTATAACATTCTATTTATGTAAATGTACATTAGTTAAATTTTTTGAAACGTTAATTAGATATTTACTTTGAGTTTAAATAATTAAAACTGTTTATTTATCATTTTATTTAATTTGTTTAACTCACTAATTTTTTTTCTATAATTTATTTTGCATATTTGTACGAGTAGTAGCGTTTACCAAATAATAATACTTTTCAAGGAGGGTTAAAAATAATGTTACGAATGATTTATTCAATGGTAATTGTATTAAAAGTTATTATTTTTTAATTAAAAACATTTGGAAAATGATATATAAATTCAATGAGGTACAATTACATTTTTTTATTTTAGTAATATTTGAATAAAAAAGTTTGGACATTGTTAAATTAGTAGTTTTAGTGATTAATTTTTGTGACATTATCCAAAATCTGATACGTACCCACAATTATATTATATTATAGTCAAGTTTTAGCTTTTATTAGATACATATATTTCTTTAATAAACCTTAGCTGAAATTTTTTTCTGTTTACTTATAATAATAATAAATTTATCATTTTGCTTTTATTATAATAAACCTTTTAATATATTCTTAACTTGATTGAATATAATTCAGAAAAATTGTAAGAATAGTATATCAAAATTAAGTCTAGAATGACGTCTGATTATTGAATTTTAATAATTCTATAATTGAACTCTAGAATTATTAGCTATATAATAATTTTTAAGTTCATCTATAATGCCTTGTATGTATATCAACATTTTTTTTTTAATAAGAATACATATTTTGCATTAAATGAAATGTTTGCAGTTTTATTTTAATAGTATAACATTTTAATTTTTAACAGAACTTTATACGTTTATTAAATATAAGCCGTTCAATTTTTAAATTCTTGATTTAATATACATGTATAATATATTTTCTTTTAATTATATTATTCTGTATTGATAAAAATGTTTTCCTAGGAGCATAGAAAAAGCGATATGCCTTTGATGACACTAGTGTTACATTATTGCCTTTGCTATCTAATATCATTAATTTTTATAATATAATTACAGTTAACATGAAAATAAATGACATTTAATACACATAGACATTTTCTGCCTAAATTCGAGTTATTGTAAACGGATTAATTAATTAAATTAGCTTGAATTCAACGTTTTATGTTAAACTTTAAAAAGTGATGCAATTTGTATTGAAAAATATTACTATAGTGATTTTTATCACTGTTAAATTTAAATGTAAACTGGTTTTCCATTTTGCGAAAACTTTTCTATAGGCACGTGTAGAATAAAATTTTACTGAGTGTTATTATAATTATCTTACCCTAAAAATTATTATTATTTAAGAACACATTTATGTCCTACATTTTTTATGAGGTCAATATCTCATAGCTTCTAGTTGCGCCCATACAACTGTATGTATTAGATTTTTGGAATAATTTCACTTTAGACTTTCTATCCCCCACAAAAAATATTGAACACTCGAATTATTTTATACGAGATTTAATATTTTAAATAAAAAAAAATGATGGACATTTATTAATTAAAAATAATATTTGACTATATGAACTTTAAATAAAAAAGTTGGTTCTTTCATTAATGATACCTCTTTATTATCATAACCTATATATATTATATTATATATAGAGTGTTCAGTAAGTAAGGAAACAGGTTTCTATTGTTCTTATTGTTAGAACAACTGGCCTGTTTCCTTAATTACTAAATACTGTATATATATATATATGAATATAATTNAGATAGCTATTTTGTAGAGTAGAATTTAAGAAAAATTTTAGTAAAAAAATATCTTATTAATATTCAGTAGTAAATATTCTGTAGCGTTTTGAAGTTTGTAAAAATTTGATTTTTCATGTACTATTTTACGGTTATAAACATTGAAATACGTATTGAAAAAAGGACAGAAGAAAACGTTATCTTTTCAATATACTTTTGAATGAGAGTGATAAGTAATAATTGCCTTATCTAATTTCTTATCATGGTATTAATGCCAAGTTTGTAATGTATACACATTATCATCATATGTATACACAGTAATCATGAAAAGATAGCGTTTTCTTCTGTCCTTTTCTCAATACGTATTTCAATGTTTAATACCGTAAAATAGTACATGAAAATTCAAATTTTCACAAACTTCAAAACGCTACAGAATATTTACTACTGAATATTAATAAGATATTTTTTTACTAAAATTTTTCTTAAATTCTACTCTACAAAATAGCTATCTTAGATTTTTTTTTTACATTTTATTTAAAATTTAAAAATAATTAATATTTTTAATAAAATGTAAAAAAATTAATTATTGAGATATAGCTATAGACCTAACGTCTAACTAATGTTTAAAAAAAAAATCAGCTAAAAATATTAACTGGATCAAAAGTTATTTAAATTGTCAGTGAGCGGTGGGCCACCCTGTATATATGAATATAATTTTGAGAACTGCTTATAAATGCATATTGATATATGAAAGTTTGTTTTCATTTATGTTACACTTTCAAAACAAATGATGACTTTAAACTTATAATATAAAATTAGCGGGCTGTACATAGTTTGATATATCGAGACAGTTATGTCACTAGTACGCGCTATAAATTTGCAAATGTAAAAAAAAAACTGGCTTTACTATGCTAACATTTTCAGAAAGATATGTCGCATGTACGAGTTTTAACATTTGCTACGAAAAAGTCATTTGTTCAATGTATCTTAATTAAATTGATACATTCAAAGATAATTAATTATTAATTATTATACATAATAAGGCTATTGAATTGTGATAACTTTAGAGGTATCTTTAATTTAAGAACAGAATTTTTTTTTTTTTTTTATTCACATAGTCAAATTTATTTTATGTTAATGACTGCGAATTTTTTTTTATTAATCAAAACACTAAATTTCTTGTACATTTTAATTAATGTATTCGATATTTTTTTGTGGGTAAAAATGTAAATGAGTTATGATTATTCTAATGTGAAGTGAAGTATAATCCAAAAATCTAGTACATTTAGATACAAAGAAACAACTGGAGGTTAAATAAAGTACCTTACAAAAAAAGTGGGATATATATGTGATCTTATATAATAATATTTTTTGGTGTTAAAAAATAATAGTAACACTCCCTAAAGTTTTATTCTAGTTGCGACTATGGATAGATGTCGGGAAAATAGGAAACCTGTTTAAATTTAATTTTAACAGCGATTAAAATCACTATTGTAAGATGTTTCATAAATAATGTGCTCAAGAAGTCTGTATTCGTGTTAAACCTAGTTTTAGGTCGAATTTAAACTCTTATTTAGTATTCATCATTAGTATAGTTAGAAAAAAGTATCAATTATGACTTTGTCAACAGATATTCTTAAAGTAAAATAGTAAGGCACATTGTTGTAAATTAATAATACATCAATAGGCAATACAAAAAGCACATCTACTGATAAGTCACAATTGACACACAAACGTCCCATATCTTTGATAATGACGTCATAAAAAAACTGATTTCAGTAGATAGAACGTATTTTAAAAAAACTCAGCACAATGAAGACGTGCATAGTTGGATCAAGTAAAATTATATCTGACAGTGATTAAAATCACTATATAAAAAAAAACGCTTTGATGCAAATCTTTAGATAGTGCATAATTTTAAAAAATTGGTATATTATTCCAAAAGCTACATAATCTGCTAGTTCCTTATTAATATCCCGATTAAGATAAAGTATGTCGAATGAAAAAGGGATTATTAAAAAATATTATTTCTCATTAAAAAATTGTGTTGATTCATACACTTTTCAATGAGTTATACCATTATAAAGTTAAAAATGTAAAAAATAAAATCGAGAATTTTCACACAATAATAGCATTCGGTAGCCATTTTCACCGCGAAGACAAAATAAAGTCCTAAATTTTTTTTACCATAAAGCATATTACATTAGCTTTAATTTAAGATATATATAAAAGTGTCAGACTTTCCGGAACATTTTCAAAATTGAAGTTGAAAAAATTAATATTTTGTGAAAAAGTTGTCATTTTTAATCCCCCCCTGTGGGCAGGTAAAGGGTCAGATATAAAAAAAAAATATACCAGATGAAAGGTAATAATATCATGCATCTATATAAAAAAAAATTATATTGATTGGGTAATTTTTTTGGAGGTTTCCCCCATTTACGGGGAACGAGGGAATATTTTTCAATTTTTGAGGGTTATGTCTTCGACTAGATACAATTTGTGATCTTTTGACGTATTATTGAAAGAAATTGGTTTGGTGAGAGCTGAGAAAAAGTGGTAACAGTAAAAAAAAAAAAACGCATCTTAGTAAAACCAATACATTCTCAGCTTCGCATCGAATCTAAAATCAGTTAACTAATTGAAGTTGCAATTTTAATTGTAAACTTTTATATCTAATTAACGAATAAAGTTAATTTTCGATCTATAATATTTACATAATCAAAGTTGTGAAAAAAGCAATTAAAAAAAATTAAGTTGAAAAAGTTAGTTTTTGTAAAAAAGTTGCAATTTTAAATCCCCCCCCATGAGCAGGTTAAGTGTTAAATTTTCAAAAAAATTATATCAAATGAAAGGACAATATCTAAGGTTTTAGTTAAAAAAAAAATTATGTTGATTTGTTAATTTTTGAAAAAGTTATGGAAGTTTTAAGAAAAAAAAGTGAAAAAAATGACAAAATTTGTCGATTTTTAAATTTGTAATTTTTTTGGATATTTCCCCCATTTGCGGGGAACGAGGGAAAATTTTTAAATTTTTAAGGGTAATGTCTTCAACTAGATACAATTTGTGATCTTTTGANTTAATTTTTACAATAAAATTTAAGTTATATAAATATATTAATTTTTACTTATATAATTAAATGTTCTGATGGTTAGTTTGATATGTACTAAATCAAAATTTGATTTTAAAGCGTACACAAAAAAAAAAAAAAAATAATAAAAAAAAAAATAAACACATCATG